TGCTGATACAGTTTACGTGCTGCCTGTTAGTGCTACCCACTGTATTACAATTTACAGAGCATACAGAAACACAGATTCAGCAGCTCCTCCCTTCTCTGCCCTCAATACATTCTTCAGTAACCACCAATTTCATTCCAATTTTCCCTGGGTCCAACCCTGCAAAACTCCATCATGCAGCCTGCATGTATCATGCAAAAGAGCTTATAACTAGAAACAGTTCCTGCACAACATGAGAAATTTCACATCATGCAAATCAGTTGTAGATGCATATGTAATGTAGGTTCTCATTTTTTTAATCTAATCATAATTCCTCAAAGTAAGAACTTAGTATGTATGAGTAAGAGCTGATTATGTAAACTACATCCTACATCCCTAAGTAGAGCTGGCTAGAAAAAAAAATCGCTTTGCTTTTTGGGAAAAAAAAATTTTTTTCTAACTAGATAGGCATGTGTTTTTTTTTTTTTTTTTTTTAATATTGCAACCCATCTCTGTGTTTCTACAGTCATGTATTTTCTCTTGGTACAATATTTCTCGTGGAAATCTATGCAGCAAACATTCACACAACCTCAGCCAAGTGCAAATAAAGATAGATACCTTGTGATATAGTAAACAGCTGTACAAGTCAGGAACAACAATAATTGCCTTAAATTTGTTGTTTGAAACTCAGCACAGTTGCTGCCCTACTTCTGGAGAAAGGTGAATGCAGCTTTGTCCAGAGGAAAAGGCAGTCAAATGGGTTACTTGGATCATATAAGCATTCTTACAGTCCATTCTCCATGTTCCTTAGACTCCTCAGAAGGGTCCCTCACAGAAGCCGAAGGACGTGCATGTTTTGAAAGCTGTATGATTTCAAAAGCTACAGCAGCAAGATAAAAGACCTCTCCTTATCTCCTGGTAACAAATACAGTTCAATTCCCATCCTAGAGGACTTCAGCTCAAAGTAGAGGGAGCTTATAGTTGTTTATTTAACAGACAGCTATAGGGATCACAGAATCACTAAGACAACAAAGGAAGAGCAGACGTGATTTGCTGCTATTTATGTTGGGAATCACAAGCCAATGAGCAACTGTTATTTTTACAGCTTTTAGACGGGACTCAAAAGCAGAGAACTCCTAAAACTTGGCAGAGTTCTACATTTATTTTTCTTCCCTAAGCGGAAACAAAGTACTGCCTACAGAAGCAGTGGGCCCTTTGTAACACCTTTAGCTACAATACTCATAACCTGCATAACCCAGAATTTCAGTTAATTTCTACTTGGTTACTTAAGTGTTAACTTGCATAAAATTACATTTTCTGAGAAAATAAAATATTTGTATAATTTAATGTATACTAAATATTTACCTGAAGATGATCCATGGTTAGCAATACTAATCTCTTTACTAATTATTTTATTGTTTGCAATCACTGCACCAAAACTAATCTCTGACTCAATTTCCAGATAACAGCACGGAATTAATCTGCAGAGAAAAGACATCATTATATTTTCCCAAAACTTGAAAATACCTTTGCATTTCTAAAGAAATTTGATTAAGCATTCCAGTGGAAAAAGAGTTCTCCTTTTCTCCTAGTTCTCCTACCAACGTTTATGCAACTCACTTCAGCAGTATAACATACACAGGGAAGATGTAAAAGAGACATAGCTATTTATCAAGCTTTTTCTTTAATGACTAACTACTGTAACTTTTAAACAACAGCTTTAATCAATTAGTGTAAAATGGAATATATATATTTCTATTTAATTTCAAGTACTTTATTATAGTACAAAGAACTTGAAATAAAACTATCTTGAGTTAGTTGCATCACAAAATAAGACCAAAGCTAACATTCATCGCATTTCATATTCAGCTGCCTGAATTCGAAGCAGAGAAAAAAAATACATGCCAGTTTCAATTCACAGTCTTTTTGTTTTATAGATAATTCACATGGCTTCAGCAATACTTATCCCCTTCTGTCTGTTATACTCATGACACAAATTATTTCTAATATTTATTTAAGAGCCTTAACCAGCATGACGACATCACTGTATTGGGTACTGCTCAGCCATAACAGATCATACACACTTCAGGAACCTTTTACTTTAAAGGCCCCAGTTTCTAACACAATCACACCTCTGATCTCACAGAAAACCGTGTTTGAAACAATTGGAATTTTACATCAGCACAGCAGCCTCTCTCCTCTTAACCACAAATAGGACCATGCAGAAACAATTGCATCTCATGATCTGCACTACACTCAGTACAGAAGACTAAACAGGGAAGGCCAAGCTAGGTAGACCCTGACCATATAATGTACTGCATAAGGCAGGGGGAGGAGGAAAATGGAAGTGGGTGCTGGTGGAATCTAATCAGGAAAAAAACAAAAGAAGTTGCTTTTCGGAATGTCAATACACTCTTTTTAATTATCTTTAATAATTTATTGCAATACAAAAACATAAATCAGTAAATTCTTGAAAGAAATGGTCTAGACCAGCAGTATGTGGCAAAGAGAAACCAACAAAACAATTTTAAAAATAAAACCAAACAAAACAGGAAACAGCTATCAAGATTACAGTACACTTGAAAAGACTGTAAAAACTTCACACGTTCCAAGTATTCAGACATTCTTCAAAGAAGTTGTTAGAAAAATTAAACACATATATCTCTCAAGACCCAAATTATAAGTTCCCAAGTAGACAGGAATAAGCATAAATACTAACTGCAATGAGATTTCTAAAAGATATAGACTTGTGCAAAAAGGGAGACAGTAAAGTTAAAGGTTTTGGGGTTTGGTTTTTAATACAGGGTGGGGTTTGTTTGGTAGGTTTGGTTTGCTAGTTTGGTTGTGAGGTTGTTTGTTTGGTTTTTTTGCAAAGATAGAATTTATCCCAGGAAATGCCTAATTTCAATTTGGGTTTATTAATATTTTTTAAAAACAAAAAAGTCTCAATTATTATATTTTAAAAAAGAGCATGGACGCAGAGTTTCAGTTAATTGTTAAAAAAACAAACACCCCCATCAAAAAAAAAACCCCAAACCAATCATGACTGGCTTGTTTGAAACATACTCCCAAAACTTGAGTATAAGTATTTTCTATGGCCATCAAATATTTACATAACTAAATAATCACCCTTGTATTACTTTTTCCTAAGCCACTATTGAACTTTTCGTTCATTAAATTTGATGGACAAAACACGCAGACCCACAATTTCTACAAATTCATAGTGAATTATATATATGTACACATCACCCTACAACCAATATAGAAATAAAAGAAAAAAAAATTTCAAAGAAAGACGACTACAAATAAGCTAATAGATAGAGAAGTAGCAGACATTTAAAAAGAGGCCAGTCCAAATAATATCAGGACTTCCAAATATTATACAATAACACACTATCTTGAATTATATTTATGAATTTTCTGAACTTGCCTTCACATGCTTTAAAACTTAGTTCTGTTTTGTAGATGTACAACTTTACAAAGGTAATACCAGTACACAATCTGAGTGTCAGAGACAACAAAAATAAATGCTGTATTTGAGTTGGCCAAAAATCAGAATTTGTCACTGGTAAGAGATTTTGTTTGTGTGCCACAAAAATAAACAGCAATTTGATGTAAAACTAAGTATAGCCTCAATAATTTTTAAAATCACTTATTTCAATCCTTGACATTTTAGGAAAAGTAGCATTAGTGTTTACTACATTATTATTGATATATAAGTAGACATAATATAACATTATTAAAAATGTAAGAAGACGCACAAGCTATTACATAGGAAGTTAAAAAAACACATCAGAATTAAATAAATTGGGGGGGGGAGGAGCTGTCATGACATTTCATAGTGACAATGCAATTTTTATCAAAAGAAAAAAAATCTTTTGACTAGTAGTTCTCAACCAGTGTCACACTACATAATTATTTTCTCAAAATGGTTAATGATGCATTTTAACCTATGTTTGTACAGAAAATTATATTATGTATTTAGTGACCCTTCAGTGCAATAATTGAATACCATTTCAATATAAACTGCACACATTCATGATACAAAATACATTTGGGAAAAGACTGATTAAAAAGCAATCAAAGTATATTTGTTTTTTTCCAAACAAACAAAGATATTATAGCCTGGCAATTTTTTTTTCCCTGCAAGTGTTAAAACCTGCTAAGTATTTAAAATCTTCACTTTTAACTATCTAGTGCAAGTCCTTTCCAGGAAGGAGTTACCAGTAGCATTATCATCTTACCTTCACAATACTACCCTAATTAAAAATTGGAAAAAATTAAAAAATTAAAAATAAAAATGTAGAAAAATAAAATTTAAACACAAAAATTAAAGAGTAAAAATAGAAAATTTTAAAATAAAAAAAAACCTTAAAAACATAAAAGTTTAAAGTGCTCCCTAATCACTTTTTCCTTCTAGTAAAATAAAACACATTGAGACAGCTATTTTTAATAGTAAAATGATCATATTAAACTACTAAGTTCTGTATTAGCTTATGAAAAGTCATCCCTGTCTTTCAGCCAAAGAAAAGCATTTAGGACTTTCCATTTAAATGTCTTTAATGTTAATCAAAGAAAGCTATAATAGCATTGTTTAATACTGTGTTCGAAGAGAATAAGAGTTTACAAACACCACCGAAAAAATGACTACTTGAAATTGTTATTTCCAAGTCTTCAGACGGTGGACAGTCTTTTGCTAAAAAGAAAAAAGATTTACAACTTGAAAACCCCATGTCAGATTTAACCGTTTATGTCCTACATTAACAACAGTACAACATTAAAATGAAAAAAATCCCACAAATTTAAGATGAAATGAGGAAAAGCAAATCAGTGAAAGAGATCATAACATAAAAGCAAATGAAATGTAGCATTGCTTATCTGAAGGCAAAACCTTACACATTTAGGCTAGCATGAGACATTCGTGGGATTGCTTCATTTCTAAAACAACTCATATACTGGATAACCTCCATGGAAATTCCTTTCTGTCTATACATCTAATTTGTAATGTTAAGATTCTCATTAAAACTATGATTTGCAGTAGTCTATGGAATTCATTTGTCCTAGTTTACAGGTCCAGCTTTTAGATGCTTAAAAAAGAAGTTGGCCATCCTAATTTCTCTTTATAGACAAAGGAGATAAAGGTACACCAGAACAATTCCCTCTCGTCTTCAGATAATCACTGTCTATGTTTAGCCTCTACCTGGTGCTAAACTATAACAGTTGCTCTATCACCTAACAACCCCTCGACAGCCAGGAAGGAGAATCAGGGAAAAGGAGAGCAGACCTGTGGATGGAAGTGAAACAGATTTAACGAAAACACCACCAACGCCAACAGAGATGTACAGAGTTATACTCAGCCAAATGGACACCCAGCCCTCACAATCAACCTGAGAGCAGTCCTCAGGAGAAGGTACAGCAGAAGCAGGAGGCACCCCAGCAGGGAGAACCCCTGCAACAGAAGCTCTCTCTTCTCAGCAAACCTCCCCCTTTTACAACGCCCACGACATTACGGTACGGGCTACACCTGTAGCTCACTCAGGTCAGCTGCCCTGGGTGGCTCAAAACTGCTTATGGCCTGCCTAGCGTGGCTGGCCTAGGATTCTGTCCCAAGCAAATGAGGACAATCACCCAGCCTGAGTCTGATAAACTATATTTACTTTTTCCAACCAATGTATGTTATATACAATATATAAGACATATATCCATATGTACACACATAGATAGGCACACACAATCACAGACTGATGAAAGTGATCCTTGAATGTGTGATCTTATAAAACACACACCATATTTTTAGAACTAGGCAACATGTGTTTCACTATAATCCATTTTTGCAAATGTAGACAATTACTATAAAATTTTTCATATAAGTGAGCGAGACATTAAGAGTAGATGTTATCAACATTATCACAACCAATTTAAAACAAAGCAAAAACAAAAATCCAAACTCTTTCTAGGATCACAGAGGGACATTACCCCAACTAACTTCTTACCTGTGTGCTGCTTTGAAAAAAAAAAAAAAAAACACACCACCTTATTTTTGTTAGGAAACTTACTATTTGTTTTCAATGCAGTTGACAGAATTACAGAGCCATATGTGACATGTGTTAGCAAACTTTCCACAAGATTAAACCGCAAATAGCTACAGCAGCATGTGAACTTTTGCCCATCATACCCAAGCAGAGGGATATCAACTACGTCATCTTCTATTAAAAGAAGTAGTCTATCCTGAAGATCCTCTTCACTCTCAGGATAATATTCCACAAAAGCTGTAACTTGAAGTCCAGATGCAACAGGTTTTTCTGGATTTTCCACAATCAATTTAAACTGCAATTTAAAAAAACATAATTATATTTTTTTCATTGTTAAACATTTCTAGATTAAAAAAACATATACATGTGGTTCATTTTCAGAAGAAAACACAGATTGATTTAAAATTCACAACCAACTTTAAAATATGCATGATCTTAAAAAATTTCTCTTTCTATTTACTGAAGTCCAGACTTTTCACAGTAAAAGAGAATGACAGAATGAATACTAACTAATCAAATTACAGAAAAGAGTTGGCTTAGCAAAATATTATTTCTAGTCTTTCCAAGAAAGCTCTAGCTTTTCCTACCGTTGCAATAAACTTTGTGAAGCAACACAAAATTAAATCAGCCACTATTCAACGCAGAATCTTTTTAGTATCCAAGAAAGTAACGAGGATTAAGTCTCAGTCCAAAGCAGCAACAAAAGGGGACAGCACAAGAGTTTTCTTTAGGTCTGACTGACATTCAGCTGATGTCAACAGAAAGTCTCACTGTATATCAAAAACCTGCTTTAAAGGCCCATGGCACCTCCAATTCTGGAGGTCAAATGAAAAAGGGGAAAAAAAAACAGAAGCAGCTGACAGAAAGCACCTTTTCCCTCTCTCAGAAAATAATTCTGGATTTGTTGTTGTCTGTAAGCATCTGTTTATATCCAATACCCCCTGCACACCTTTCCTTGAGCAGAATACATGAGTAACATACTAGTATGCAGTGGGAAATGCAGCAGTTCCCACGTTCCTAGGAAAGCCTCACAGCAAGGTCTACACCTTCTGCATTTCAGTTCTCCTTACAATTCACATCACTATGCACAACAGGATTCTGCTCTATATGTCGTTTAATTAATGTTTGTTTCTGAAAGCAAGTCATCCCAGTGTTCTTCAAGTTTTCTGTTCTAATTTGTGTTTGAAATATGCAAACATATAATTTACTACTTGTTGAATCTGTTCTCTGAGCATCTCCTTCTATTCCTTTAAAATTTTTCTAGCAGTATAAACACTCAGCTAAAGGAAATTTGTTATGTATTGTGATTTTGAAGGAGCAGCCACATTTTAATTTTGAAGTGTGTAAAATTTCTCTTCTCTAAAGGTAATTAAACAGCCAAGCATATTCATTCTATACAAGAGAAAAATAATATATTGTACTATGAATTTTTATGGAAACCTATGGAAAACTGCTTTGTGAGCTAAATTCCTTAAAAGGCATTTCTTGGCCATGCACTATAACAGCTCAAGAAAGGTTATTTTTCAATTCTTGCATCCTATGAACGCGATGCCTCAGAAAATTTATGAATGAGTCACACACTTCAGAGCCACATAGTCACAGATAGCAGCATAAGGTCTGGGAATAAGAAAGGGCAACACAACAGACCTTTCTCGAACTGAGCATGTGAAGTGGAATCTTGTCCCCTAACTGTCATATTGGTCAGCACAACAGCATCAAAATACTCGGCAAAAGGCACAAGATAGTCACTGAGGTATAAACTCATGAGTTATGACTGAGTAACCTTTTCTCTTTTCTAAAATTGATTGCCTTTCCACATCTGGAACACATGAAAAAAATTATAAGGCTGATGAAAACTAATCAAACAGAATAAGCACAGCCCTGCCAAATCAAGCACTCCCAACAGTTACCAGCTCGTTCCAAAAGTCTTAAGTTACAGGGTAATAGAAATTAAGCTGTCTACATCATGCAAAGTAGTAAATTTTAGGGAGAGGGGATAAAATGCATACACAGTCTTGACCACTCTGGCCCTCAAAAAGAAAGGCTGACTACTCAGGTAGTGAAATTATCCAAGGTACTTCAATTGTCTGACAATCATTTTGATGAGTGCCCTGGAATATACTTATCCGTAGTTCAAGTTGCCGCGAACACAAAGCAACATCAGCTTCTGTTCAACCCCCAATGCCAGTTCAATCCTTTGATCTGAATTTTGACATAATTAACAGAAAATAAACTAGCTAGATGAAAGACCAACATAAAACTACTAACTACAGCTGGGTTTTGCTGGACCCACATAGGTCAGAAGTCAAAATTTTTCCAGAACTAATCAGATGCTTTTAATAGTAACCATACTATCTTGAGAAGAGATTGTAAAACCCTCTTTTCTGAGAAAGCTCACTGCAAGCAAGCACCACAAATGGACTACTCCACTCACAAAACTTAGAAGAATACAATACAGAAATGAGGTAATAGAGCTATCAATCAGCCCCATGGAAATCCAAGCAAAAACAATTTCAAAAGTTGTGCCCTTCAGCTGATCTGGAACACTTCACAGATTTGGTATTCACACCATAGCAAAGTGATCCATTTCTACATAACACTCCCTGAAGTGAAGAGGAACTCATGGGCTTCCTGAGGGATAAAATTTCTGGAGAGTGCAAAGCCAGCCATTAAAGCTAGGCAGGATTTGTTACTAACAAGGGACTCAACGTAGCAAGATGTGCAAGAAAGCTAATTTACTTCTACTGAAACTATGGCTTTAACAGATAGAGAAGCTCTCTACAAATTGCTCAGGACCTCAGGAAAGTTTAGAACTGGGAAGGCTGGGGTTCATTTCATTCTGACTTACAGGTTTCAAATGAGCAGCCTCATTTGAAGCTGTATATGAGAACATTTTTCAAGTATCATAGAAACGAGACCTACATGTTCTCACAAGAAAATGATAAACCAGGACGGGCTCCCTCCTTCAGAACTGTCACACAAGAAGAAATTCAGACAACTCAGGCTCTAAGAATTGCCTCTTATTCTTTCCAGTTTATCCAGTTATTCAATTATTTTAAATTAATTTCCAATTCACTGGCAAATACCAGTCAGTCTCAAAAGCTACTCGGGCATCCATGGTAGCATTTGCCATTTGCAGTAGCTGAACGCAGACGAACAAGCGTTTACAGCTGCCCAAGCAGCCTCTTACACAGGCCCTGACCTGTGGGCAGACGTCCCCCTGCAAAACCGCGGAAAATAAAAGCGGGGCCTCCAGAGGCACTTTTCCTCTGGCAACATTCTGCACCTCAAGGAGGGCCTGGCAAGGGCGAGGGGAGCGGGCTGCGCCCCCTTCCTCAGGCCAAGCCCCGGAGGGAAGGACACAGCCCCGCGGGCCCCGGGGCGGGCGCTCTCTGAGGCACCGCCGTTACCCACGCACGCTGGAGAGGT